AAGGTTCTAGCCTACGACAGGAAAGGCCTTCATGACTAAGTGCCAGAACACTCTCATACTGTCAGCTCTAAGAACCTCTTTCTCCAGCCACTTGCAACGGCCTAAGCTCTACCCCATTGCCTCCAGCAGGTGCAGGAGCGAAGCAGTTAATAAAATGGTTTGGAAACTAAACCATTTAGGTTCATATCTTCCCAATTAGGTAAGACTTACTAGACTTACTACCCTTTATATCTCTGTGATTCATTTTCCTTATCCATAAAAGGAAATAGCCATCCCTCCTCATGCCGTTAGAATTCCATGAAATAACAGGCATAATGCTCTAGAAGTGATGCCTGGCATCTGGTAAACAATGGACACGGGTGGGAAGTGCTGTTAGTCAAGAATTCTCTTCATCCTTCACAGCCCAGGCTCAGCCCCCCAAACTAGAGGTAATGAGGGCTCTCTCTGCTCTCACAGCCTATGATGGTAGGTCGCCACCCTGCCCTTACTCTATTTTGCTGTATATTCTTGTCTATCTCCCACATTAAACCATCAGCCTTTTGAAGACACGGGCCTAAGTTCAATTCCTGGGTTGGGAAGATTCCCCTGGAGAAGGTAAAGGCTATCCACTCCAGTATTCTGGCCTGGAGAATTCCATGGACTGTATAGTCCATGGGGTCACAAAGAGTCAGACATGACTGAGTGACTTTCACTCACTTCACTAAATCCATGTTATCTGAGGACTATAATCCACTTTAATTTTACACCCACAAAGACCTACAACATCTTGAGTACAGTAGATTCTCTCTAAACCTTTCCCAGATAAAAATTAATCTGAGAAAGGAAATATAAGTGGGCAGCTGAAAGGTATAACCTTTGGGGTTGCATTTGAGGACAGAGCCAAGGAGCCAGGGCATTTTCCCCATACCGGTCTATCCACTGAAGATATCTTCTCAGCAGCCAAAAAGCATCTGTGAAGGCAACCACTTGAAGGTGGTCATGAAATGAACTGAATGTGATAGTGAACAGGGCTGGGATTCAGAGAATCCAAGAATCTCCTTCAACTGTGGTCAAAGTGGTGTCCAATGAGCATTTTTTCCCCCTAGAAAGTCTTTCTAGATAGATTTCATGGGATAGTCAGTGGGTCTGTGTACATGCCAAGTCACTTCAGTTGTATCTGACTCTTTGCTACCCCATGGGCTGTAGCCCACCATCCTCTATCCACGGGGAGTCTCCAGGCAAGAATACTGGAGTGGGTTGCCTTGCCCTCTTCTAGGGGATCTTCCCAACCCAGGGGTTGAACCTGTGTCTCTTATATCTCTTGCATTGGTAGAGGGGCTTCTTTACCACCAGCGTCACCTGGGAAGCCCTAATGGGATCTGACAGCACCCGAATGAAGCCAGAACACTCTCATATTGTCAACTCTAAGAACTCTTTCTCCAGCCACATTGCGCCACTTGCAAAGGCCTGAGCACTATCCTATTCCCTCCAGCACGTATAGGAGTGAAGCAGTGAATAAAATGGGTTTGGAAACTAAACCAATTAGGTTCGTATCTTCCCAATTAGGTAAGACTTACTAGATTAAGATTACTTACTAGATTCCTTACTAATTAAGAACCCTTGACTTGGTTATTCAGAGACAAAGTGCTTCGCTCTAGAGCCTTAAATGGAAGGAAGACACAGCTTTCCTTACAGGGCACACACCTACTGAGTAAGGAGAACTGGACAACAGGTGCTTGGCGATTTTAGAGGAAAGCTAGGAGAGGCTCCTTAAACCATTCCATGTTAAGAGACCAACAGAGAGAAGAATAATAGGGCCCTGGTCACCTCCCCAGTCTGCTCCTTTGAGGGATCTGAAGCCAAACGTCTCTATCATGACACACAGATCCCTGACTTGGGGCACAGATGCTTGCCATTGGCTCAGTCTAGTTGTGAGGGTTGTTTTCTGTGTCAGGGTAACTGAAAAAACATACTGCCTCAGGATCCAGACACAACAAGCAAGGCAGTTCGTCTAATGATGGTGCAGAGAGTGAAGTGACACTTGGAAGCCAGGGTAGGCCTGCTACCAGAACAAAGGGGAGACAAAGACCATCAGTACGGAGTCCCTGATGCATTTCCTGCTGGCAGATGGCTTGCAAGGACCCCTCACGCAGGAGTCTGTTTTATTTGCAGAGGCCACAGTGGTAAATTAGAGCCCAGCCCGGCCAATTCTGGGCTCTCCAGTTTCTCTCAGAATGTTTCCTATCACTGCCCATAGGCCACTAAAACCTGCCCGCTTTCAGGATGATTGATTCTGCTCAAGCAGCAAGCCACAAACTCATGTCGAAACACCCACTTCAAATGAGTCATTAGCCTCCTTTATGGATGTTTCAGGTCATAAGGAATAGGACCTGTGAGCCCCATCTCTTGTAGAGTAGATAGGGAATGTTTGCAGATGTGGTGGAGGGTGGGGGGGACTGTTTCCTGTCAATCAGCAAGATGAAGCTAGGAAAAAATAAGTCCTGGCGACCTCATGGCCAGAGTCAGGGATTCAAACCAAACCACCCACGGGCTCTTCATTCCTACCCTAGAAATGAAGGGCAACAGCGACAGGGCTCCACAGAGCCTGTGGAGTGTCCACAGACAGACTCCATCTTGACTCTGTAAAGTACCTGGAACACAGAAAGTTGCGGTCAAGGAGGGGAATGTCTAAGACTTTCTGACTTGTCACAGGACAGCCCGTTCCAACTGAGCACCGATCGAGGTCATCATGGGCTGGCGGGGTAAAGAGCTCCAGTGACAGCAGCCACAGTCAGAGCAGCAGCCCAAAGGCAGCAACACCAGAAACCTGAGTTCTGTAGCTCGGCAAGTTTCAGCTCACCGCCTGACCCACGTTTAGCAATTCTGATGTACCGCAGAGCAGACAGCCCCAGCCCAGGATGACTGCCTCCCTCAGCCCCACTCCGACAGGCAATGCAAGCAAGACCCACTTTGAAATTTCTCCCCCATCATGCAAACTGACACAGGCATGCTTTTCAAAAACCCACAGCCAATCTGTTGATCATTACTTATTTACAAAGGCCTTCGGGCAGAAAGTCCTGTAAAAACCATACTTGATACGGTATATACTAGCTTTTTCTGCTTGTGGAAAAAAAGTCCCCCAAGGCTACCTCAAACCATCACTTTCTATTGCACATAAAATGTAGCGTGTAACACTAAAGTATTTAATATATAGGGTATAATATATCTACAGGAAAGGCATTTGTGTAGAAGTATGTTACCCCGGATTTGGTAATTTGATGTTTTGCTGAAGGCTACGACTTAAAAAAGCTTCCACCTCGTACAGAAGACCTGTCATCTTGGTACCCAAGAGCCAACAGAATAAAGAAGTACCCTTAAGCAGCAAAACTTTGACACAGCTTTGAAGCATATGAAAACAGTATAACTCCTCAGAATTATTATTACTCAAGATCAAAGAAATGAGCCATACTTTACATAGCAAACAGGGACAGGGAATTTGGCTCCAAAGGTTTCAGATTTTTCAGACTTCTCTTTATTTATTTATTTGCTTCACTAAATTTAGGCAAAAAGAAAGCGCTGGGCTTCTATTTTCAGTGGATAAAACTATTAGCATGAGATAAGGTGATCACCTAATGGTGAGTAAATAGAGAATGGACGCGAGCATGACAAGTGGCATTGGAAAAACAAGGGCTTGGCAATTGACACATTTTATTTCTCCTCATAAACTGTAAACAAGCAGGTAAATCAGCAGCACCCAAGCAAGACTGAGCAAATGGGAAACCGGAAATACCGAACAGGAAGAGGGGATCATGATGGAAAAGGACGTGGGGCTGGGTGAGTCTTCTCTTGGGACTTGTGTTCTCGACCACATGAAGGACTGCCCTGTCTCCATCCTAGAAAGATGGTTGTGGAGAGGCAGAAAGAGGCTAATGCTAGGAAAAGGTGGGGAGGAGGAGGAATTCATCCTGATTTTTGTATCAGTCATCAAAGGGAGGAGAGTGGCCAATGGTAATGAGAAGAAGAAAGCACCATCAAGATGGCAGGTGTTTCCATGGCAGGAAACATTTAGGGAAAGCAGTGCAAACCTGAAATCATTCCTGTTTCATTGAGGTGCTGGAGAGTGAGGATGATGAGGGAAATAAGCACTAGGATTGGGAGACGAATCGGAGACCAAAAAAGGGGAGAGGAAAGATGAAGAAGCCAAGAAGAGGAACCAACAGAAGTCTACTGAAAATTGGCTTCACTTGCCTTTTCCTAGAGGAAGCTGCAGTCAAGATAGAGAGGAAGGAAGAAAGGAAAGAAGGAAGGGAGCAAGGGAGGGACAGAGAGAGGGACAGAAGGAGGGAGGGAAGGAGAGAAAGAGAGCAAAAGAGTGCTCACAAGCACTATTTCATAATTAATATTGCTTTTAGCCTGAGCAGAAGTGGATTACTTTTGAACTTTGCTTTGGCAAGTCCACAGATTATTAGACTTTTTTATCAGTCAAAATCAATTAGCAGAAATTTGATTTCAATCGACAGGATAAAGAGAAGGTAATCTTCAGGTTCATTTTTGATTGTGATGATACATCTCACATATGGCCTTAAGTACAGAAAACAGTCCTCGGAGGGACTCCAGCAGAAAGAGACTTGCCGGAGGCAAACTAACCACATGCGTCCCTCTGATTGGCTGCTGCCGTCATTAGTGCCACTGCTGTTTAGGAACTACACAGAGACAGGACATGGTGACAGCTCAGACTTTAAAGCCTATGTATTTTTCAAACAGCTTTTCAAACTGTTTTTCATGACAGAATTTTTTCAGCTCTATCATTAACTGCTGACAAGCTGACAGAATAAATACTCCAGCCTTTAAGAAGCCATCTAACGATCTCGTCCCCTCCTCCCCTGCGAGCTTGCTAGGGAGGAGAGCCTCTGGGGCCCGGAGGGTTGGGGTGGGGGGGTGGCGATGAGGGGAGATGGAGCGAGAGAGGGGCCCACCACCAGGGGACCCACTGCAGAGCCCGGGCCCCCATCCATCCTTACCTCATCAGCTTGGGCGAGGAGCTGGGTGAGTTCCGCATGCCTCCGTTGCGCTGCTTTTTTTTGGGTGACAGTGTCGACGGCTGCTCATCTTCAACTGGAAATACAGGCAGCTCATGAGATTATGAACAGTTTGAGGGCAGACTGTGAAATACAGGCAAGATATCAAAGGACACACACTTACGGCTCAGTCACTCACTAGGAATTCATGGCCGTGTCTTAGGACCCAATGACAAAAACCAAGGCGTTAGTCAAAGAGCCCGGCTTAAGGGAGGTGAGAGCATCACCTCTCAACACTCCAGCATTTAAACATGCACTTTCAAAGACTAAAACAATTTATAAACACCCTGCCGATAGAAAGAACAGAAATTGCAAAAATATGGATGTATATATGGGAACACGCCATCATTCTGCTTAGAATTCAATTTGGTTCCTTTGCCTTGCTGGATGACCAAAAGTCAGAAACAGAGTTGTCTTTGAAGCAGCAGCATGAGAGCTGCCAGCTGGCTGCTTCTGCAAATGAACCAACAAAACCGGTTCCTAATTCCTGCACGCCAGAGGAAAAGAGCCTTGGAGAGGCAAGGATTGGAGGCCTTAACAGCCAATGTTTCAATCCATCAGGACTGGGAACATTGGTGGGTTCTGGCTCAAGAATCCCAGCCCCATGCAGCTCTTGTCCCTCCACCTCCCAGGAGAGAGGGCCTGTGGGGCTGTGTGTGTGGGGTCTTTTCTCAATTCATTAAGATGGGAGAAAGGGGGCTGCAAGCACCCAAACGAAGGAGGAGGTTGCCATTGAATGATATCTCTGATGATGCGAGGGGGTGCGGGGAGGTTGCAGGAAAGCGGGGCAGCAGAGAGTATTGGAGACCACAGGTTGTTTTCCAAATGTTTAAACCACACAGATTGCTAAGCAATGTGAAGCTCTGCTCACAAACAACACAGCATACGCTATTGCTTTTGCCCAAAGACACCCACTAATAAGCTCTGGAGATGTATTAGCCTGCATTGTGCTTCTTTTAATTTTAAGAGAACTGCTTGATAATTAGTAGATGCATACCCAGCCTGTCACCCAAGGGCACCAGCAGCAAACTCCTAGTCTTCCTCTCCCCACCCCCACGATTAGGGCTAAAGCTGTAATGCCAAGAGGGAAAAACAGGATCGCTGGATTCTTATTGACTGCAACACAGACTGGGAGGAAGCATCCCTGAAACTCGAAATGACACACAGTTACCTTAAAGCTAAGAGGAGAAATATTAGCAGCCACAACATCAAAAGAAGCTTGATAGGTGTTAAATGTGTACAAGGCTTAAGTGGGGGAAGAGATGCCATTTCAGCTACTTGATACTATCCAGGAAGACCCATATCAGAACATGCATGATATGGTACTTCCCTGAAAACACTAAATACATTTAATGTCATGATATATAGCCCCAAAGAGTTTATAATAATCCAGTGTTAGTCACTCAGTCGTGTCTGACTCTTTGCAACCCCACGGACTATAGCCCGCCAAGCTTCTCTGTCCACGGAATTTCCCAAGCAAGAATACTGGAGTGGGTAGCCATTTCCTTCTCCAGGAGGATCTTTCCAATCCAGGGATCGAACCCAGGTTTCCAGCACTGCAGGCAGATTCTTTACAGTCTGGTCAACAGGGAAGACCATGATTATCCAACTACCCTCTAAATGCTTCCAAGTATCACCCTTGGTACACTCCTTCATTCTACTGTCAGTCTGGGATTGTCTAACTTTTGGCTGACACAGGGAAATGGAACAAGAATGTAGTTGGAAGTGACAGTGTGACCAGAAGAAATAAAGGCAGATAAATCACCTGCAAATGCCCTCAGCCCTTACACTCTATCACCTGCTGCTCTCCCTGCACGGTCTCCCCTCCCCCACCCCAACCCCACCCACCCGCCAGAGACCCAGGCATAGGCTGTGACCGTATCAGTCACTTAGGTCTCCAGGAGGGAACTATGTGGCTGGAAGGATATCGCATCTTATCAGAAATGAGTATCCACAGCAAATCACAGAGACTAAACAGCACTTAAAAGATTAAAGGAAATAAATACAAGCCACATAAATGGTATTGAAAAAAATCACTTAGAGGTGATATGCATCTCTCAGCAAGCAAGCAGTCACTCTCTTCTTGACCTGCATTTATCTTCCTTTCGTAGGAGAGGGGCCAGGCATCCCAGGCAATGATGGGGTAGAAAGGGAGTAAGATTGAGAGACAGAGAATGTGTATAGCATAAGTGTACTTTTGCACTTTCCCCAACTTGGGATGGGGTAGAAAGTCTTACGCTGACTGCCCATGTAATACAAAGTCATCTTTTAATATGGGCCACTTGCAATGGTTGTATTTTGTTCAAGATGACCTACATTAGTTGAGTAGCATGATGCACTGAACAACTCGTGTGCATGTGAGTTGATCTAGTTGGAGGTAGAAATTCTTTTCTTCTTACCACACAAGCCTTCTTATGGTTAGAATGAAATGTCCAAAAAGGTTTTTTACCTACCCTAGGCTAGCTTTATTCAAGCCCACCAGATGTTGCCACGGTTTTGTCCAAATATACAATAAGCCTGTGTTTGTAGGAAGTCACAGTCTCTGGCATTTCTGCTGAATTCTTTTGCTTAACTTTACTTTCCTCATTTGCACTGGGCTAATGACACATAACCCTCTCCTGTTAAGTGCCCATTAACCTGGCACCTGTTCGCTGTCTATCTGCAGTGATCTTCAGATGGAAGACTTGCAAGTTAATACCTGTTCGCCAGCTCCAGGGAAACACCTTGTTCTGGTGTTAAAGTCAGGCCTCCTTCTATGCAAGGAAACGATTTATTTTCATCACAACTCAGAAAGCTCATCCATCATAATCATACTGCATTTAAACTAGGATTTGTTCTCTTAAATGAAATGCATGTTCAAAGGTTTCCTCGTGTACTGGAAATGCAGATCTGTTCCCTGAAGAGACGGGGCAGGGTGGGGGGGGGGCGGTCAGGGAAATGTCTCCAGCTTAAATATACGAACGCTGTGTAATGGAGACCATTACACGTGGCTTAGATCCCACTAGAGGAGCCGTGATCACTTCTGCCTCCTAAGTAGGATATAAACCATATTTAATTATTATCCTTTTATATGGATTCCATCAATTTCTGCATATTTAAGGAAAGCAGATTGAGGAAAACTTTTAGTTAAGCTATAAAATATAATTTTCATTTCATGGCTTCTGTGACTACATGAGACGAATAAAAATTGAATTAAAAAGGGAGACTTACTTCGGTGAAAGACAAGTATTAAAGGAATGGGCTACTACCTCATGCCAACACACATGTCCAGGTTCACAGTTAGCCTGGTTTCTGGCTAATTATAATACACCTCTGTCTCCGGCATTTCCACTAAGGTCCTCCTGCTGTGGAAGCAGTAGGAAGATAAGATCTTTTAAAGGAACCTGACTTACCAGCTTCTTTAAAACACAAACAAGTTCAGGAATCCAATGTGGAATTTTTATAGGAGCTGAACTCCATCCAGTCTCTGAGTACTCATAAAATTCAAGGGCTTGTTTTTGCACATCCCTAAGTATAACACTTAATGTGCTGTTGTAACTTCCCAGTGCTCGCTTGTCTAATAGGCACTGAATCTAACAGTTTTACAGTTTGGGAAGACTCAGTGCTAGAAAAATGTCAGGCAAATCTAATGAGCCTTCAGATCCCTTGGTTTGCGCTGGAGTTTAATTTAAAGTTACAATGATGTTTTAACATGTTTGCTTATACTTGACTAAAGAGGATTCATTATTTCAATGACATAACCTCCAGACAATGTTCTGGGAATTGATTTAAGATGTGGTGGTAATTCCAACAGCCTTAATGCAGAGCCGAACATCTGTAACAACATTTTACTCAACTTTTCATCGGCACTCTTTTTTAAGCAAAAGCAAGGCAACGTCTTCCAGAAACACTGGCCAGAACTCCGGGCTCCTTTCAAGATGATCATATACTTTACTGCATTTTTTTAAAAAAGAGAAATCCCTTTCTTTATTGGCCTAGCCAACTTGCAAACACTGTCAAGGTTCATCAATGCCTCTTCATGGGCACTTTGAGTAAAATGGGGCAACAATTTCAGCTTGCCTACGTAGTCCAGAGCTGACCTGTGGTGGACCCAGCTCTCAGCTCCAGCCTGGGGCACATTCCTTTGTCCCTGTTTCCTCAACAGGGTTTAGGGGGATGATGCCCTCTGAGACTTAAAGGTGAGTTTGTTGGCTGCAGTTAAAAAATAGTTCAAAGCAAATAAACTCGGAAATGTAATAAAAGGCAAACAACCCATAAACATGAGTCAACTGGCTATCTCCATTACGTTATTAATCACCACATCTGGCGAAACCCACATCTGCACACACTTAGCAGATCATTAGTAATGTCATATTCACACTGGAATCACTCAGAGTAAGAGGCATGCAAAGTGGTTTGAACGCAGAGGCATAGAACTAACAGGGCTTCCGACTGGAGTCCTGTGCAAGCTGCTAGTTTGGGGGGAGGGTAGTTTAAATGATTATTTATCATTTTGTATGGATTTTCTCTTTGGTATTTTGCTGCCCAACAAGCTAGATGCATGCTGAAATCCACAGTAGTACATCTTCCTTCTCCCCCTGAGCTCAGCATGTTAAGGTAGAACATTAAGGGGTGCAGTTATTAAAAACTGGGATGGATTCCAGAGCTCCTTCACCTGGCTCGGTCACAAGCTGAGAATTGTGAGCTGTGTTCTTGAACTCAAATGGGTCTTTGGGATAGCGTGATCTAGCTCCAACCTTGACTGCCAAACAATAACAAGAAAAAAAACTGAAATTAATCCTTTGTGAAATTTTTCATTAGAAAAGCTCCAAACCAGTTTTCACATTGAACAAAATTATAATTTTAAATTAAAATGGAAGTTTCTTCCCTCACAGCTAAATTGCAGGGTTTTTCACTTTTCTCCCCGATAACTTCTTGAAATTCTTTTTGCTGCATTATTGTCATCGATGTCAGATGGGATAATGTGTCAGCAGACAATCTTGCTTGTGTCATCATTGCCCCAAATATACAGAGTTCCTTTCTCCCCCCATGATACAT